TCTGGAGTATTTATCCTGATCTGCGGTGATCTGGTTCACAGCAAAAAAATGTCTGCTTGGGTGAACCAAGCCACCGGGTGTTTCCTCCACATGGTGGGTAGCTGTTCCTGCGAATGAGACATGGTTTTTCTGCGGTTCGTTGGCCGGATGTCTGTTTCGGCAGGGGCTTCGGTGTCTTCCGCGTTGGTGGAAGCGATTGTGCTCGCTATTGAGGTGTCGTTGGCTGCGTCGTCGGCAGCGGCGAAGAGACTGCTCCGAAATAGGTCGCGTGGCTTGATTGCGGCTCCCGGACAGACCGGCGTATCCGCGGCTTCCGGGCGATTTTCGGAGAATGGCAGGAGTGCAAATTTAGCGATGAGCGCCTCCGGGTCCGATGGACGAGGCTGGGCGGCAAATCCTAAAAGTGGCGGGCTGCCCGAATGCTGCTCCGGCAGGGTAGCGATATCGCGCGCGCGAGCGGAGAACTCCTGTTCGGGCGCTGCGCGAAGTGGCGGCCGCGACGGCGGTGGAATGGCGGCGCGAGCGCGAGCACGTGCGGCGCGTGTGGCGACGGCGGGGCTGGCCGGCGGACGGCCTCCGGCTCGACCTCGTCCTCGGCTCTCGCGTAATACGCGATCTCTTAACGTAGGCGGCGGCGAGGGTCTGCCTCGGCGCGGGGGCGCGAAACCTCGTCTCTGCGACGTTGTCTTGCCGCTTGGAACGTTCGAGAAGAAGAGAAAAAAATGGCTGACGCACCTGTTGCTTGCTCGGCTTTCCGCGGCTTGCTCCGCGAAATTCTAGTAACGGGGNAAACGTGTGGTCTTGCGTTGTCGTGGTGAAAGACTGTGGTGGCCCGGGTGAGGTCTCAACTTGACCCCGCTCCCCGGCTTCCCACAAACGCCTAAAAGGAGCAAAGGGGTGCAGGCGGGGTCAGAATCGCTCGAACTCGTTTTTCCTTCCAATGCCTTTATTCAACGCCTCTCTCTCCTCTGGTCTTCTTGCCAACACTACTATAAGCTCTACGCGCTAACTATAAGCTCTACGCGCTACCTTCTGCTTGCTACTCTTATGCTACTTCCTACTTTTCATTACTTGCTACTCGCTGCTTGCTGCCTCTCGCTCAACTCTCTTCGACACTCTCTGACTCACTCAGACGGCGAAGCGAACGCTTCTTCCTGGTTTCGTCTCAGCTGTGGCGCCGCGCGCGGCACCTGAGGACAAGCTACCGCGCACGGCGGGGAGCACCGCGACTTGCGCGGAGAAGATAGCTCTCGGCATGAGACATTGCTTCCGCCGTGGGCGCGAAGCGGAAGCGGCGGCAAATGGCGCCACACAATAACATGTCGTCGGCTACGATAATTGGTTCGCGCAGCGAAATAGTAATTTCGCCATGCGACGTATCGCGTATCACGGCGTCGGAACAATGTACGTTAACGCAACCACCGGGGAATGCAGCATTTTGGAATCAATTACGAGCCGGCAAAAAGCGGTTTTGCTTTTTTTCTCTCCTTTCTTCCTTTTTTCTCTCGTTATCTCGTGCGGCAGATATGTATATAAGAGAGAGAGGGGAGGAAAGAGAGGGACACACACACAGAAAGGGAAGCGCGTTCTAATACCCTTCTCTCAAAGGGCAACGATAATTATCGAGTCGTGAGAACGGCTTTTCAAAGGGTCGCGTTCTGAAATTGCGGTTTCTCGAAGGGGTGGACTTGGTGATGAGAGCGGGAAAGGAGCGAAACGAGAGTAGAAAGGGAGGCTGCAAAGTAGCGCATTAAGTTCCGGGATACGCGTTCTCACAGCACAGCCATTTTTCAGTGATAACACGGCGAGGACCGTCCTTACGATAAAGCCGCGGCGAACAATACGGCGATGTCTACCAACATAGGCAAATGGGGCAGCTGCTATATCCAGGCCTGTCCTCAGTTAAAGCGGAGGCCCATCGCGAACCGCGCGAAAACATTTTCTTCTTTGTTACACTTTTACCCTTTTACTATTGCTTAATCTATGAAACAACAACAGTCGCGTTATTAAATGATAAGAAGACGGACGCCAGAGTGTGTAGTGGTAAAAGCCAAGAAAGGCGCGCTCCTGCAGTGCGGAAAGAATATATTCGAGAAACCACGCGGAATTTTATTTTATTTATCGCGCGAGCGCGCGAGAGACACAAACGAACACGTGAGAAATGCGCTCCCGGGGAAAAAATTGACTTTTTTCCTCCGAATTTTTCGCTGAAACCTGGGAAATTCCCTGGTCGCGCGACCTCGCGTTTCGCCCCTCCGTTCGCGCGAATCGCTCTCGTTCGCGCGACCATCGCTAACCAAACGCTCTTATCTTTGGCCTTTTTAGGCGGGCACATGAAAATGCATGAGTAGGTACCCTTGGCCCGTGTGCCTTCGCCCGTGTGTCGGGCACCGTACCCACCGGTTACCCTGGAAACGGTATCGATTTCAACCCTCAGCTATGCAGTAGGAAACCAACACCACACCATGGGGGTCTCTTCACCCTGAGTTTCGACGAGGCGCACGGAGACCGTTTCGACAACCCGATTACAAGACCCCCTGTCTCTTTCTCTTCCTCTTGCCTAACCCTCACTTCGACCTCTCTCTCTCTCTCTCCTCCGCCGTGTCGCTCTTTCCCTCTCGTTCTGCTCTTCGGAGAGTTTAACCTAGATCCTAGCGATGGACATTTTCTTCTTTCTCTCTTTCACTTTTCTCTCTCTCTCTCTCTCTCTCACTCTTTCCCTTTATAACTCTCCATTTCTCCGTCTCCATTTTTCACTCTCGCGAACTCTCGATCGTCTTCGCTCCGCTGATTTGCGAAGCTATATGCACTTCGGCTTGATCGCTCGGCCCAAAAGTTATTATTGGCGCGACGAACTGCAAATAGTCCTCGACCCTCGTGGATGATAGATCCGCGGATTTTCCTAATTACACGTGGACTACATTATCGCCAGGAGATAGAGAGAGAGAGAGAGAGAGAGAGAGAGAGAGAGAGAGGAAGGAAGATGGAGAGAGAATCGACTTTGTGCGTGTATAATTGGAATATTCAGCCCAGTCCTATCGTCGAACTTGCCGCGATTGTGCGCCACGTTGGCGCGCGCAATCATATTCGATTACTCGTAAAGCGGATCTAAAGGCTAAAGACCCTTAGTGAGTTGGCTTATCGTGAAATTGCCGCAAATGAGAAAGTATATCGTGAGAAAATCTTCAAGGGAGAGCCTAACGCGCTAAAGAGGATGTTGCGGCGCGATATGCGCGAGTGCATTGTCGAATTCGCTGAGATAAGTGATAACTCTACACGACTGTAATTCACGAATTGTAACATCGTCGTTGAGAGCGTCGGGAAAACTCGGAGAAACTCTAAGGCAAGAGAGAGAGAGAGAGAGAGAGAGAGAAAGTTTTCGCACGAACGTCGCGACACGGATGCCGTCGAGAGGATGACGATCCCAAATGCATAGAATATTTTAGCAGAGGGTGCTGCAGAGGGGAGAAATATCGCTGCTATATCCCTGTTGAAAATTTCAGGATATCGATTTTTGCCGATCGAGAGCAATTAACACGCCGCAAACGAATACGCCCGCCAAATTCTGTCGGAAGTTAACAAGTGTATCGCGTTCGCATCCGACGTGACTAGCTAACGATTGCGTGATAAACTTCCATTTCTATCGTAAACGAGAGCGCATCCATTCAGGAGGGCGGTATAACGCTGGGTTATTTGAGTCGTATATTTTATATACATATAGTGTCACTCGAAGAACGCACGGTCGTATAAACGTATAAACGTATAAAACGCGCATGTCAACTCATTAAAGCCTCGTACATAAGATATTCCTTTAACCAGAGCTGCATTCCGCTTTTATATCGTTGCAATAAAAGGTTACGGTGGACAAAGAAAAAAAAAGATCGGTAAACGAGATATCACAATTATACAATAATTTCGTAAAAGAAGTCATAACAAAAGCTGGTCTCCTGTGAACGTTTGACATATAAATTTGCACTTGTAGACTCTAGTCTGAAAGTCTTAAATAACGCAGACATAAACGCGGATAAAAATAATCTCGCGCAAACGAATGGCAAAAAATTACATCGCTTTTGAGAAACTCTCTTAGTTATAATTTAATTACATGTAACATATTAATATAGATATATACAAACACAGAAAGAGCAACTGTACAACCGAGTCTTTCTCAAGTATTAAAAGTACCGGCTACCATATGCGTATAAAGTCGGGAATAATTGCACAACTCATCGTGTGTATAAGCGTAAACTGCTTCGATACTGTACCTTATTTACATCAAGAATAGCTACAATATTGGTATGCCACTCGTCGCATTGATTGCTACGCTGTCAATGGTCTCTCTCACTGTTTGTCTTTTTTCTCTTCAACCTCGAACAAACCACAAACTTTGTTTGCCGGCACGGCTTTATCTGAAACAACAATATTGGCCGCGTTACATACAATGCATTGCAAAAGCAATGCGTTGCAAAAGTGACGAGCAGCCGAGTGTCGTCGATATCTCGATGATTCCTCGTTCTAATTAACTCCTAAGCGACTTCTCCTCGAAATTCGACTCGAGCGATGATGCGAGATAAAGGACTCATTTATCCCACGTTCACCGGGATGCGAGCCGACAATTTCATCGATCTCTCTCCACAGCATCGGCAGAAATCATCGGTGTCTTTGCTCATCTAACATTTAGCTACGCCGCGAAAGCTACACGAAGCCCGCTGCACAGTAGCTGCAAATATTCCTCGCCGTATCGACGAAGCCCGATCATGTCACGTCGTTTCATTCCAATTCCACTTCGTGACGTCGCGTGATATGTCGCGCGTGCGAATTAAAACGCAGGGAGAGGTAAAATAAAGGAAAGGAAGGAAAAAAAAAATTCTCCAGCGAATTTGCGCTTCTCATCTCGCCCTCCAGCCGGCAAGTCTCATCCGATCATCGTCTCGCGCGGAATGTCTCGCGACAGGCGCATTCGTCTCAGCAGACTCGGCGTTCGTTCCCCGGACTGTACCGGGACGTTGTAATGCTTCGAAGACGGCTATTAGCTTATCGGGCTGATAGCGGCAAAGCGCGCGCAACCCCAAAAATGAAACGGGAATCCCGATGGGGCCCGTGCAACTACTACCGAGTCCTCTGCCGAGAGCACCATTTTGAGGATAACGCCCCGCAGATAGCGAGGCAACCTCTTACCCTCTCCCTGTTAGATTAATTACCCCCTAACTGCCGTGCTTCAAGGACGTCTTATCGCCTGAGACCGTGACATCGCGATTTAAGATCCCGAAATTGAAAAGTATACGGGTCGTACTTATTATCGTACTATCAGTGTGATCCGGATATTCCTATACTCGGGTATTTCAAACCGTGGTTATTTCCTGCGTGTTCCCAATTAATACCCATATTCGAGGGTACTATTCGGCTGTTTGCGCACCTATATCCGCGAGTATTACCCAGCAACCAAACGAAGAGAGATTATTTCTTGTCACCGTACATCACACGTCATCTCGCACTGTCATTCCGCGACGCTTTGCTTTCAGTAAGGCTATGATATACTTTCTACGAAATTAAACCCAGCCGCAAATTGCCTGTAGAAGGCGTACGAATGCAGATTGTCCTTGTTCGAACCGAATGCAAAGCTGTCAAGTTAATATATTACAAAAAAAAAGCATACAATGTCATTTATGTTAGAAAAGATTTGAAGAATACCTTTAGTTTTATCATTTTGAAAGCAATGTATTCATCCGTTTTTTGCTGTTATTATTAAATAAGAATCAATGATCAGGTATAATCTGAAAAGAATCGCATACTCGAGTAATACCCGAAAAACACGGCTACCCGGGTATCCGGGTAAAGATTTGGATACGTGGGTAATCGAAATTGACAGCACTTACCGATCATCTTAGGGTAAGGCAGGTTGAGATTGTTCATAATTCGGACGAAATCTTCCAGCGACTTAGACAGTCGAGGATTGAGAGCTTTCTCCTCGGCCACGGTGGTGACGGTTCTGCCGTTGTAGTCATGCGCAGGATACAATCGGTAATGCTGCGGTAGCGTGAAGATCATTTTGTGAACGGATCTGTACAGGGTCTCAGCGGATCCACCCTGCGGACAGTCGGAGGGGAACACACTCTGTTCCGTGTAATTCAATCAGCAAACCGCGCGTCCCTTCGACCGCCGAACGACATGTCGGCGAATATTAAGCGAATACAAAAATCACAATCGTCGCCCACAATGTCGTCGCGTGTCCGCAACGTCAAGGCTCGTCGAAATTAGATCGGTCTCAGTGCTCGTCAATTATCGTCGGTGCAATAAAGAGAAATTGCCGGCTTAAAATATGCCAGAGTAAAGGATAACGACTCCGGTCGTTCTCCCGGATTAAAAGGTCATTTAACCGAGCTTTCGAAAGAATAAGTCGCGGCACGTTTATAAAATGTACCGCCGCGCGGTCGGGCGCGATGACGGACGGCTATTCATCACGCGAGTTGTGCAGAAGAAGTCTTTCATATTCCGGATGATATATCGACGTTTACGTTGCACGCGCAACACGGAGTGAAAATGTTATTGCAACGACCGCCGACGTTTTCGACGAGAATTCCGGATGCTGCGTCGCCTCTCTCTCTCTCCTCGTCTGTGTATCCGCACGACGGCATTGATCCCTCGTAGTTATGACGTTTAAATAAATAGCCATCTATCGACTCGCGACAATTATATCGGCGACATGTCGCGAACTGATATTTCTGGCTGAAAAAAAGAGCTATTCATTTTGATCAAAGCGATAACGGCGGATGCATCGAAAAAGACGCCGCAACGACCTCATCAGTAAGCGTTCGCGCGTTGAAATTTTAACTTTACGTTAAATCCTTAATTCTACAGCACAGTAAGAATTAAAAGAGTAGAATAGATTCAATTTCACTCTTAATAATATAATTTACTCTTATTTTGATCCTGATGATGTCTTAAAACTCGTTGTCTTAACGCCAAAGTAGGTCGTTCAAAGTAATATTAAAGTAATTGGCCCGTAAACTGCCGGATTTTCAGTGACGATATTAAGAGACTTTTAAGTTTATTATTTACTGAAAACAAAACTTTCCTATAACTTTATTATTACTCAACTATCTAACTAGTAAATGTTCACTTTAAGCGAAATGAAGACAAACATATATATACAATATCACAAACATGGAGATGTTATTTTTTTTTCTTTTTAATGCCTTATTTACACGTCAATTGAGTTAATAGAGATCTACACATAATAGAAAATGGTATATAAATATTTAAATATGTACACATGTACGTGTATCGCGGGCGTTGTTATAAATTGTAAATTTTTTATGACAAAACAAAATATTCCAAAATTCTGACATTTTCGTGTAATATCTCTATCTAGTCTACAGGTCGTCATTTCTATAAAGCTGGGGTATACACTGAGCGAACGAACAAGGAACGAATACAAACTTTCGTTGTTACAATTTGGAAAATGTGTATAGCGATATGCCATAGCAAGTCCGAACAGAACGTTTCTCAGGCCGACTTGCTCATAAGATGTTATGTCCAAGAAAGTTCGTGCTCGTTTAGACGAGCGAGTATACACAATATTCATATTACATTCGTTGTTCGTACATTGTTCGTTCGCTCAATGTGTACCCATCTTAAGTAAGCGTGAATTATCCTTAAGAACGTCAAAGTAGCATCAAAATTTCGACTCGAGTTAACGCATAGACCATACTCGGCACTGATTAATCTGAAAATATTAGAAAAACAATATTCGAGAGAAATTCTGCAAATATATATTCCGGAATGGAGATAAAAAACAGAGATACACCGAAGCATCCGGATTTTGCGTCGAATAGTGTCAACGGATCCTTGTTTCTCGAGGTTAAAAAAAGAATTCGATTCGCGCCGTTCTTGGCGCCAAACTGGTGCGCGACGAAAATACAGACCACGTACGGTAGTAGCCGTATGCACCCGCGCGAAGATAACGGCCGTGCGCTTACCTGGAAATCAGTTCTGCCGCATCCCCGTATCAAGAGTGCATCACCCGTGAACGCGATTGCCTGCTCGTCGCAAACGTACGTGATGCAACCTGCGGCAAGTACGGCGGATAAAATATTTACGATATCATGCTTCACCGCACGGTCATTCGGTAAGCATCGCGTCGTTTTTCGGACCGTATACACGCGCACATATATCTCTCTTCGCAGCGATTCGCGCTTCGTAATCGGCCGATACGATAAATTGAGTCCTCGTCAGCTCGTTCATGCAATTGCGAGTGATATCGTGTTCGTCGGAAACAAAAAAAAAAGCAGGAAAAATATAAAAAGGGGGAAAAAGAAGAAATTGCGAGCAGATATATTACGCCCGCGCGAAAAACATCGAATGAGATGAATAACGCTGCGCGTGACATGGAAACCCGTGGTGTTTGTATTCCGAGAAATATAAAACGGCCTTCCGGAGTCAAGTGGCATAATTAGAGGCGTTGCGAATAAACACGCGTAATGAATTTCCGACGATAAAATTAATAGTCGCGTTGCTGATGATTTTATAATGAGTAAATTAATGTAATTAATTCCCGCAAATTTCTATTAATTTACGTCTAATATATATATATATATATANAATTTTATATACGTAAGACGTAAAGTTTATATATATATATATAAACGTAACGTAAGGTACATATTAATTTTATCATTGGGGAAACACACATTCTCTAGTGGGATTTTATCTTCCCGACGATGGCCACAAGAGACTAGAAATTCCGCCGGTGTGAAACACCGATGCACTTAACAACGAAATCTCGAAATCTCCAGGAATCAAATCGGCATCGACCGGACTTCGCTACTTCATGCGAAGAACGAAACCGATATCGAGTATCTAATTCACGATAATTTAATGCATGTCGTTCGGCAAATTCGGCGCGAAAAATTGAGTCCGTTATACGAGGAGATTCCCGGTGTATCGAAATAGCTCGGACGCCCCTCAGGATTTTTCCTGGATAAACGATTGAGTCGCCACGAGTAGTCGTAATCTGGCACGATCGATAAGAACAGCCGTATTCTTTTTTTACCGTTGCCATTCCGCTGTGTAAATTCTGGTATACCAGCGGTATACGCGTACATATAGACGAGTGAACACGTACAGAGTATCCCAGAGCTACCAAATATCACGAGATCGGGCGAAGCTACGAAGTAAAGCAGTTTGTTTCATTAGTGAGAAATCGATGATCTCCGAGAAATCGGGCGGATTGAAGATCCGAAGAGAGTTTCGCAACCGAATCTGCGGCTTTCGACGATGGTGGATCGCCTCGATTCTGTGTACACGCTCGAGATAGAACACCCTCGTATATCCTTGATCTTTTCAGTCCACGTGTAAAATATAGCGCCGCCTCTCACCGCCCTCGCGGGGAAGTATTTCGCCGCTTCTCGCCGCGATCTGCTCGATTAATAAAATAATAGAGAACCGGGCGTACGCGATCGATCGTGCGAGAAAACGCACCCCGATATCGCGGAATCGCTAACACTTTTCGCGCGGGCGGGAGTTTTCCGCGCGTCACAGTGCCCGAAATTTTCGTCACGCCCCTCCACGTGAAAAAACCGCGCTTCGTATTCCTCGGGCAAAATCAGCTGATGCGTCGAGAGTTAAACCGGAACGCGGTTGCGAAAGGAAAAGGAGGGGGGAAAAAAGCGAGAAAACAAATAATCCGAATAATCGAGAAGCGAGGGGGAAAGAGAGAGAAAGGAAGAAATGCAAAAGTTCATTTCTCACTCGTGAAATCGGCCAGGAGGCAGTGATATATGGCGTGTACGTACACGTAACGCATACGTATACACGAAGCGGAACGCATGGAGGAAACACGCTAAAATCCACATATGTATCAAATGTGAGATGCACTATGCACTTAGCCCTTTATAGGGCACCGCTGTGCTCTATTTTATCACTCCATATAGCTGGCGCATACGGACATACGGACGACCGACACGGACGTTGGCTAAATGGGCGGTGGTGCAATATTTTATCGTCCGACGATAGTACAAGCGAGCGCAAAAGTCGCGTCTCGTACACATCTCGCGGGATGTGTGATTTTAAATTCGGCTAAATACGCAATTCCGGGTCTCCTCTGCACGCATGCCGGAAAAGGTGAAATACGAAGAAGCGGGGTCTGACCTTCGGTGTGACCTGGGGTGGGCAGTACCGCCAGGTGGTGCCTGCCGAATCGGACGAGATCGAACGGCTCCAGGAGTACGTCGGCCTCGGCGCCGCTCGAGGACGATATCATCGACTTGCAGTCGGGTAACAGCGTCTTCAGCCGACCTGTGCCGGTGATGTGATCCGCGTGCATGTGCGTGTTCACTGCGACAAGCGAGGAAGTTTTCGAACGACGAGTTTCAACAGGCAAGCCAGCTCCGAGAAGCTTCGCGGGCTTGTTCTCAAGTGCGCCACACAGATACAAATAATTGAGTTACATCACACCCATCAGCGGCCTAATTAGCGGTGTTCTCGCCGAGTTCTTGGATGACTGAATTACGAATAATTCGCGCAATTTTGCAAAACGGGAACGGGCATTAATGATATTTGCATTATTGGAAAACCGAGCGGCGCATTATGGTAATGCCCATTTGTTCGGAACGGAATTGGCACAGCGATAAACGCATAAACAAACATGCCGCTATACGTACGCTTCGTTTAACAGACGTTTCGCGTTGTTTTCCCTTCTTTTTCTGCTTTTCATTCATACGAATCCCTCGCGAAAAAAGTCGCGTCACGCGAGCTGACGTCGTAAGATAAGCAAGACGAGAACCTCGTTAAGCTTCTGATACGCGATATCCGAGACTTATTTCATCGATTTCTCGACTTCCTCCCGCGAAGGAATTTGTTCTCGCTGGTGCTTCGCCGCGTCGTCGGAAGGACGTAATCGAGGGGAATCCGCACGTCGCGTTTGTTGTTATTAACGCGTGAGGCCCGTTAATTTTCATGCAGATCCGAGGGTGCGCGCGAGGAGCACGATTCGCCGGAAGCGACGACGCTTTCGTCTCCGGCGATACACACGAAAATTACACAGCGGCGAAATCGGATCGGCCCGAAGTTCTTTATCGAAATTGGCAAAGTTCGGCGATACGGCCGGGCGCGGTCGCACTCCTCGCACGGTTTATGGTCCGCGCGGTCCTGTTAACCGGCAGAACAATGGAGAAACTATGCGGGGCCCGTGGCCGCCCTCCGCGGCAGGATTGCATGCCAATTCATTATGAAGTTCGGCAAATATTGGTCGGTTAGTAGGATAGTTCGCAATAATTCTGCGCGCCGCTCGTAAATCACGCGTACGCGGGGGGACGTCGCGTAATTGCGACAAGTACATTTCCGACGATCGAGCCCGCGGCGCGACGGTAGTAAGATAATAGATTTCGTTGTTAATTAGAGCGTTGTAATTAATTAGTTATCGATTTTGAAACGCTTCGCGAAGAAACGTCGTGATAAATCGTTTGCGCGCCGTTGCGATATCGCATTTGGAAGGCTCGATTTTGCGTACAATGCATTAATATTAAAACTGAACGGCGATAATTATTATTACCTCGGCGCGAGCCACTGAGGTAAACTTGCGGGTAATTTTTCCGCGCAAGTCGCACGGTCAGTGCACCGCACGGATGGAAATGCCGTTCAATTTCCGAGTTACGCTGAATTTTGTGCGAATCGTAAAAAATTCAAGCCTTCCGGTAAGTTTGACATAATGCTGTAGAAATGCCTGTCAATATCAATCCGACATTTGAAGAGTTATAAGAGGTAACGTCGCGGAAGTGGATGCCAATATGCAGGAATTTAACGTCCAATATGTTCCAAAATTTAAGTTTCTCCGAAATTACACGAAGTATAGCTGACGCAAAATCAATATCACTCGGGCAATAATTCAATGATACAGCCCACTGCAAAATGGCATTTTTAAATAAGTTATATATTAATAAATGTACCACTAAAATATATGTAATCACTGAAAATATATATGAATAAATGCCACGGTCTAATTCTACTTTAAAGAGAAACATACAGTCTGAATTAAACACAATTTTGAAAAATATAAAAGACTATACCTTTCACATGTCCTTCATACCTCAATACTTCGATATTTTTTTTAAAGCAGCAATATTTGGGCATGATGTAACTATCTGAGTAATTGGTTAAAAACTTACAGGCATATCTCAATGTTAAGCCTAGTTCCTCGATTATTTGTTTGTCACGCTCAGCCCATTCGATAACAGGGTCGATTAAAATCGCTTCTTTATCTTTGATATCTGCCAACAGATACGTATACGTGCTGGATATTGGATCGAAAAACTGGAAACATAAAATATCTATATATTAATTTTCAGCGAAATATAATACCGCAATATGAAGTTGGATTATCGTAAATACATATAAAAATAAAATATTACTTATCATTTATATCATTTTTTCGTAATAGTAGAGATTTATTATTATATTGTTATGAACAAAATTAAAGTTACATATATTCACACAAACATATATAATCATAACCTAAGTCATTGTTTTTAAAGATGGATTAAATGCCACAAGATAATGATATTGTACTTGTATATATATAGAGGACATAATATATAATAATAAAATCGTATATACAGAAGAAAGAAATTACAACTTTGCGCGATATTTTTCGATATTATTTCATTTATATGTGTGTCTCAATTATATACTATCTACATCTCTCTTTCCGAAGTTCCACAAAAACTTACGATAAGAGAAATATCTAATATACGAAAAAGTGTCTTTATTTTGCGCAGTATTCGATTACGATCATAATACTTTTAGAATCTTACTATATTTCATAACTTTCCCAAGTTTCAATTAACGAATGATATGCAGGGTTAAGGGCGGCGGTATTAAAAAAAAATAAAAAATGAACAATCGCGAAACGACGTTTCGACGCGAGTACGATTGACCGCTCGTTAGATGACGTTAGAGTAACCGTCGCAGAACATTTGGCGGCACACAGGCGCGACAGACAGCCCTTCACTGGTGTTACCTGGCGAAACAAGAAATCCTTTGAGAAGGGAACGCGCGCTGTCAAAACGTCAGCCATGGCGTGTGTCGTGCGTGTTCTAACTGCTCGCGAGATCGTCGGCGATACCACTTGACAGATATGACGAAGCATTTTGATGCTTACAAGCTTCTTATAAGCACTTCCACTGCACCGTTGCACTTCTTGTTTTTGCACACTGTACGTACTGATTCGCGCGACGCGGATTACGACGACTGTTGATAAGCAATTAGACGTGGCAATGACAGTTCTTGGAAATCGTATTCTTACGTCGCATCTGCTGGTATTGCGCAACACGTAAAGATAAAGTCCAAAAATCGATATAACCTCCTTTCCGTAGCGCACCGGCTTGTCGCGCCTAAGATATTAGAATTGCAATTGACTAACGAATATTAGAACGGCGACTAAATGATAAAAAATCTGCCGGCACGAATATCGCGCAAAAGACGGACATTGAGAGAATCGCCGTGATCACGTAGAAACGTTCGTCCTCGGCGCATCTAGGTAAACATCTAGGTAATTCATGATAGCTTCCTGTCCATTTTACGACTTCAGCCTCTCCCCAGAGCTGCCAACCCTGGGGAAATTGTATCAAATTTGGTAGTTCCTTTTTGTATTCTGAAAATCAGTGAAAATTTTCCGTATTTTAACCCATTACCTTAAAAATTAAGATCATATATAGATCACAGATTTCTGCATAACGCATAAAGCATAAGATAAATAACCAATGAGAATGCTTCATTTTTATCCCCAGGATTTTTTTGTACCTTTTGCGTTATGCAGAAGTCTATGCTTCCACTTTTAGAAATGCAAGACGGTTGGTGAAAAATTATATCAATTTGGTAAAATGTTATCAAAGATGGAGAAATAAGGAAACTTTATGTTTAAAAGTTGGTAAAAAGCATAGTTTAGAGCTGGCGACACTGCATATCCTAGTCGTTCATTCGCCATCTTGATATTGTTCTTTCCGGTTTCTGGAGCGTACTTGAGGTGTGTGGAATAAACGATCTCTCAGAAAATTTAGTTATTCCAAGTGAACAAGTAACGCAGATATAAATGTAAAAACGTATGTATTAATACATCGGATTACACAATTTTTATTATATGCAGAAATTTACGATATAAAACTAAAAATATTGCATCGTCTCACTCATCATCCATGTGGCATGTGTACCTTTTGTTGTCTCACGTGTAGCTACTTTACAGAATCTGAAATTTTACATTTTTTCCAGATGCCGTCTGTAACGCTGAAAGATGTCGATCAACACAAATTCGTGAAGGCCTTCGCTGCTTTCCTGAAGAAGTAAGCAATAAAACGTAGAATATAACCTTCGAACCTAACCTCTATTAGTTTCACGCATGTACTTCCTACTAGTTGTAAAGCTTTATAAATATATTATAAATTATTTTGTTTGAATGGGTGACAAGACAAATTATTTTATTGTCTCTTAATGAGAAAAATATAAAGTGTGAATATTGAGTTTAGTATACACCAAAAACAGTACATGTGGCAAGGAACACGTTTTAATATAGTTCGGTACTTTTCTGCTGAGCATAGTATATACTTATACAACCTAAAAAGAGACAGATGGATAGTTAAAATTTGGAAGAAAAAGAAGAAGAGAACTAGTGCAGTCCGTTCAGCGAAAAAGAAAGAACCTTATGATTTAAATAATAAATATCAGATTATTCTTTGTTATCTCTCATAAGGAAAGAAATAATTCATGATCTCAACCAGACGTTTATTATATTATTCCAATATTTAAAAAATATATATTCTTGCTCATTGTTATTGCTCTAAATAATTCTTATTCATTGTTTTATATAATTTTGTGCACTTTCCTTATTTTAATCAAACAGAATATATATTCATATATTTGGGCCTCTCATAATCCTATCTATCTGTTCATGTCTACTGCATTTATCTTATGCATGCTACTCCACTTACTGCAAGGATTAATTATTACCTGTAATACAATAGTTTATATATAATTTTACTTTATGCTTTAAGCCTTCTTTATCATGATGTAAAAATAAACAATATATACTTCATTGTTTCAAAGTATGCTTTATGATTCTACATTATTGTCTTGCTCTGTGAAATTCCAGAACTGGCAAGATGCGTGTGCCAGAATGGGTGGATATAGTGAAGACAGCCCGCTTCAAAGAACTTGCTCCGTATGATCCTGACTGGTATTATATTCGTTGCGCAGCTCTGGTGCGTCACATTTACTTCCGCAGCCCAATTGGAGTCGGTGCTGTGACAAAAATCTTTGGAGGACGCAAGCGTAATGGCACGCATCCCAGCCACTTCTGCCGGTCGGCTGGCGGTGTTGCACGCAAGGCGCTTCAAAGTCTCGAGCAGTTGAAACTCATTGAAAAGGCACCTCTTGGTGGTCGTAAACTTACCAGTCAAGGACGGAGGGACTTGGACCGTATTGCGGCACAAGTTAAGGCGAAGAGCAAAAAACAAATGAAACTTCAGGAGACCATTGTCATTTAATTTCTATGTTTAATAAAGTTTAAGGACTTTTATGTCGACGAATCTTCTTGCTAGATTGTACTTACCTGTGTATAATAATTTCATTACTATAATTGTGCGTTTTTAGCTAATAATATCTGGAAACTTAGGATCACACAAAATACTTGAGAAACAATTTTCTCTGTAGAATGTATCAGCGAACTATATTGCAGAAGTAACATTTTATTTACGAGTAAAAATATTCGGTTTTTTAGTATAAATTTGAGAAGAAAAATTATAGGAACGTTTCGTTAGAGTAACTGAAAAGAACGTATTTTATGATCCCACGGAGAGTTGTGTAAATTGTAATGTATGAGAAATTACGAACTTTTGGTTCTGAATGAATTTAATGCCAGCGATATACAATTTTATATTCGGCACTCCCGGAAAGCTATTTCGAACTACCACAAGCCGCCGCCATTGTAGTAATTACGATTCTCGAAGTATCAAATTGCGACTCAGTTCAGATCGTGGAGCAACGGTTCGGGCACGGCTCGAGATCGCTCCGTGTTCGTTGCGTCTTTTTACTTGTTTAAAAGTAACACCGTGCACGGACTCGTGTCGGGAGTGCCGAGTCAAGTACCGGGCGATTGTTTCAGCATATCGATCAGTCTATACGAGTGCGATTAAACGTGATGTCACTCGATACACGTCAATGTCCAACATCCATTGTCTCGTGTCCAAACACAAGATTCGACGAATCAGAGAGGACAATAAAAAGGTAATCGCATTCATTTGACGAAATCGAAGCTTCAAAATATGGAGCTTTTGCTACGCATTTGTATTTCGGTGAATTTGCGTTACTTTCTCGCACCAGTACGCGATATCGTACAATAAATTAAGAAGGTGTGATGGTAATGACGGTAATGACTAACGACTATAGGTTTTAGCAGAATGGTTGACTTGTTCACTCAAGACGTTATATGTCTTAAGTAATATAAAGTATTGCCTATCTGAAGTTTTAAGCTAAAAAGCCGTTCTGTTTGTGATTGATGACTAATCGCTGTGCAATAAAAACAGAGAAAAATGATTATTTAGACAAAGATTTAGGGCATAAAAACATAATCTTAAAGTCATAAATTAGCCATTCTGCTTTGCTTCTAATTTGTCGCATTACTGTATCGAGTCAATTTGATGATCATTTCATCGGTATTTCAGAGCCCCCAATCTATTTTCCGTTTCTGAACTGGTTAATATTTCTTGCTGCAAAAATGAAACAAACATATAACTTAGCTTTGAAAGGGAAAAGAACGAAGTTCCAATGCAATCTTAAATCAGCAACAGAAAATAGATCTAAAATTTGCTGATTGACATCATTTCCGAATTACGTCATTATAAAACGACGTTCGAACGTTTAAATTCTTCGTCTCATTGCGCCGCCGGTAGTTGAGGTCGCTAGCGTCGGGTCGCGCGAGATCCATCTCTCCAATCGCGGCGCGTCTGTGTCGAGCGGGCGGCCGGCTGCGCGCGCGCGTCGGCAGCGCCGCCTCAGTGGAACTTCGGCCGCAGTCGCGATCGTCTCGGCAGTCCTCGGCACCGACCGAGCGCGGAGTCAAGCGGAGTTGGTGCACGGATTAGGTGTGAGGTTGGAGTGAGGAAGGAACATTTCGCGGACGCAGTTGCGTACGCGCGTGCCCGCTCGCCTGGCCGCGGTATCGTGAAGTTGCGACTCGTCCGTGTTTGTGTATGTGTCGGTCCGCCGCACGGCGATGTGCACTCGCGCATGCACGTATGCGTGGTGACCCGCGCTGTCCGCGCCGAGAAGGAGAGCGACCCGCCGCTCTGCGTTCTCGCGGCTCGTTGGCTTGCCGTGACCATGTCGCGAAAATAATTCGTGCCGGGCGAGTGTGTCTCTCGCTCTCCCTCCGCCCCTCTCTCTCGATCTCGGCGCGCGCGAACACCAGGAGGAGGAGGTGGCCGGACACGCTCGAACCAGCCGTCTCTCTGTCTCTCGTTCCTGCGTCATTTGTCCTCCTCTCTGTCGTCACCCTTTCTCATTCTCTCCTACACGCGCGAGCGGCACCGCGTCTCTCTCGCTCCCTGTCACTCGTCGCACCGGGGACACGACGTTCGTAACCGTGCGTCACACACGGGAAACAGCGCGGAGAAGCTAGGAGAGGCGGATAAGGTGGACCCGGGGTGTACCGCGGAATTCATGGTGAGGGACGACGGGTGAACGGTGCGTCGCGGAGTGAAAAGTGCGCGCCGAAGACGACGGGGACGACGACGAGGAAGCGAGGGGGAACCGCGGCGAGAGGAGGAGAGATCTGCCGAAGGGACAACCTCGCTTGCAGCTGGGCGTTCAGGGGGGTGGGGGG